CCTTGTAGAAATAAATCGAGAAATCCGTTAAAAAATGCAAGCAACCTCCGTTTTCACGGATCCCATTACCGGCGATATCTTCATACTTCACTGAGGCTCTCAGGAAACAACAATCCGGAGTTTAACAAACCATCTAACTCGGTTGAGTTCAGATTCCTACGAATCCCGGCTCCATCGTGCTTCCGTAGTTAATCTTCCGTCGACGAAGTGCTCGATAACCGGCAGAAAGCGAAGACTACTTAGAACCTGTCTGTGAAGGCTAAGTCGTTCTTTGCTTCCAATCGACATTTTATGCTGAATTCCGTTTGGAAAGAAAGCTTTACTTTGTGCTCAGTAAAGTATCCACTTAGTGATTGAAGTCACCCATTATAAATTACTGCAATCTCAAAGATATCTACTAGCATGGGGAATGCAAATGTCTACGACCCTATGACAAAAAACCGTCTTACTCGGGATTCGAACCACGGACCGCTCGTGCGGAAACTGACGCCCTTAGCCGCTCGGCCACGCCCGGACAGTTCGATACCCACGAAAATAATATATACTCAGGAAAAGGCGACCTATCACTTATTTGTAAACTGTTTTCTATTTCCTGTGATAAAAATTTGCCGGAAATACTCAACTCGCTCACAGCTGGACGTGTTGGGCCACCTACCACCAATCCTGAGGAACGCAGTTCACTGCTGATTTCAGCCACAAATAAGCTAGATACTGACATGTCGACACGCTGTGATGGATGTGGAGAACTCACCACCAGAGTTTTGAAACTAGAAGTAAACGTGGACCTCCTCATTGAAATAATAGCGTCACTTCTTAAGTATAACAAAATTAAACCCCCTGAACACGATACAAAGGACATGAAAAACATCAATGAGCCGGACCATATGAATCTCAAGAAACCGGTAAAAGGTTATAGTCGTCGCATTCAGCGAAACAAGAGGCGACGCACGAAGTCACTAGACAAGTCCTCGGACTCAACCGAAATGGACGGCAATAAAAATAAGACAGACATAGATGAAACTGGCTCTCGCATTTCCATAAATTTGACAAATCTGGATCATGCAGAGTCCGTCTGCACCAAAACAAAACAACGATCGACAACCCCAAAAACTGTAAAAAGTAATCGTATGGACATACGTACGCCAACAAAGAGCGCTGGCAGCTTGCCCTTCACATGTGTATCAAGCTATAATTCAAAAAGTCAGGTGAGGCATCCAAATAAAGACGTTGCAGCATATATCACGGACGCGAGCAACTTATCAACTGATCTGAATACAGCCATAAAGGCAGTCTCAGAGTCTGAGACTAAATGTACCGCCAACAAAGGAGGGCAGGATACAACCACCAGTTTTTTTCCCGAGAGATCACGTCGTGTGGTAGTGCAAGGAGTTCCTGAAGCACCTGGTGGCACCCCGAAGGAGAGGGTTAAACACGATCTGCTGACATTCCAAAACCTACTTAATGACACGCAAGAACCCGGTGAGGTCGTCGAAATCCAAAAGATCTTCCGTTTGGGACCTATAGTAAGAAACAACGCAGACAAAGTGCGGCCGAGACCACTAAAAGTCGTATTGGAAAAAGAACAGCAAGAAAATCTCATCTTGTCGCCAAAGTCCAGGCTTCGAAACAACAATCATGGAGTGTTTTTTCATCCGGACTATCACCCAATCGAATGAATAAATATGAGGACGCTGGTAGCGGAACTGAGAAAATGTCAGAGCGAGGGCGAAGTGAATCTGAAAATAGCAAACAATCAAATTGTAAAAATAGAGCGTTCATTCTTGTGGAATCATCCGGTGACATTGACGGTAACAGCACAGCGCTCGGTTGCGACAAACTCCAGTAAATTCTAAATCGACTAGGGGACTTGGTACGCTAGGTGAAACATTTAGTAATAAATATCAGTCAAAAGCACCAACGAACAATTTCCAGAGATCTAAGCAGCCGAATAACATGAAAAGAGTGTACACAAATGTGCAGAGTTTATTTAAAAATTGGATGAAATAAAAGTCACTGTGGCCCATTTCCAACCCGACTTGATAGCTTTAACAGAAACGTGGTTAACTGCGCATATAGAAGACGCGGAAGTTATGCTAGATGATTTCAGGATTCTCCAAATGGACCGAAACGAACGAAGGGGTGGGGGGATTACGATATTTATACGAGATGGCATCGACTACGTCAGGGTTGAGTCTTCCCCATTTCGACACATTGATTGTGAAATACTCAGTGGTTACTTGAAGTTGCCAAACCATCCAAGCCTCCATGTGGCCCTGGTTTAGAGACCGCCAAGCCAGCGGACGGATGCGGACGATGCACTTATCACCGAGATAAAAGAAATTTGTCGAAGCAAACACATAATGCTACTTGGTGACTTCAACTGTCCAGAAAAAGATTGGCATTTGATGCATTGCACGCGATCAGAAAACTCCTTCGAACAGAAGTTTATGCAACTGATCACAACTGAGTTCCTTACCCAACATGTTAAAATGGACACTCGATTCAGAGATGGACAGCAGTCCAGTTGTTTGGACCTCATCATCACTAGGGATGATAGTTGCATTCTCGGATTGGAATCGCACACGTCCCTTGGCCGAAGTGTTCACTGCGTTCTTGTTTGGGAGTATAGCCATTTTTCTGTACCCGAAATTCGAGCTGCTGAGGAAAGAAATGTATGGAAAGGGGATTATACCCCAATGAAAAACCTGCTACAGAAGGTGAACTGGAATACAGTACAAGGACCTGACCCAGAAAGCGATTGGCTCTTCTTCAAGAACATAATGCAGCACTTGGTAGAGAGCTGTTGCCTACTTAAGAAGAAGCTGCGCACTTCCCGACCAGAGTGGGTGACGTCAGAAATAAAGAAGAACTTTAAATTGAAAAGGAGACTTTGGAAAATGTACGCCAGTTGTCAGCAACCAGAGCATTTGGCTGGCTTAAAAACACAGAGGAATGTGTGTCGGAATCTGTTGAGGAGGGAACGGGCACAATTCGAAACAAAACTTTTTAAAAAAACCCGCAAAATTCAAAAAAATTCTTTGGATACGTGAATAAGGCAAAACGCAACCGGGACTGCATTCCCTGCCTAAAAGATCGCTAGGGAAATACGTTGTCTGACAACTCAGATAAGGCGAATCTGTTGTCCGACTTCTGCACGTCTGTGTATACCGAGGAGCCGGCTTTTGATGAAAGAGTTTACCACCCAATTGTCAAAACAGACAGTACAATTAGCATGGTGGACTTCACAACAGACACGGTAAGGAAAACTTTGAGGCAACTATAGCCCACTTAATCCCCTGGTCCGGACGGCGTGTTCGCAAAAGTTCTGAATGAACACTCAGACCAACTGGCCTCTCCGTTATCCAGGATCTTCAGACTTTTGATGGAGACCGGGGCTTTGTCTACCGACTGGAAGAAAGCAAATATAAGCCCCATATATAAGGGTGGCGAGAGCACAGCCCCAAATAGTTTCAGACCAGTAAGTCTCACAAGCATTGTGGCAAACTGATAGAAAAAGTAACAAAAACGGAGCTGATGCGGCACCTCGAAGAAAACTACTTGCTCAGTTTACATCAGCATGGATTTCGAAGGAGTAGATCCTGTCTCACTAACCTCCAAGTATCCAGGGAGAGCTGGACGAAATCAATCGACATGGGCTTATCAGTCGACGCCGTGGAATTTGACTTCAAAAAGGCTTTTGGCAGTGTTCCACACAGACGACATATATGAAGACTACGTCAAGTGAGTGTGAATGGAAATCTTTTGAAATGGCCAGCCGATTTTCTTACGGGCCGATCTCAGCGTGTGTGTATCGGAAACGCTAAATCGGAATGGTTATCCGTGCACAGCGGCGTTCCGCAGGGAAGCGTTCTGGGTCCAATTCTGTTCCTAATACATGTGAACGACTGCCTGGACTGTCTGAACTGCGAGCGCGTAATGTTTGCCGACGACCTCAAATTGTGGCAATCAATAGAGAAGCCGGAATACTCTGTACATTTGTGCATATGTATATGTATATATTGAAGGGTTACAGGCAGAGCCCTTAATGACCCTATTTATGTACAGTGCTTTCGCAGATTCATACTCAAAAATAAAATAAAATTGCAGGCATTTAAAATTTGATTGGGTCACAGTTCAATCGTAATCATAAGGTAGTGCATGGGGTCACTGTAAATTAGTGCGGAAGATTGTATATGACAGATTTTACAAAACTGGCTGTGCATAGTCATGTTGTACAAGTCGATTTCTGTCGAAAACTAGACGAGCAAGTTTTCTTTTAAACACACAAACTGTATCAGCCGTCACCATCTCGGTTGGAAGCGAGTTCCACAGTAACAAGACAATTTGAATCGCTTGCAACAATGGTGTGATAAGTGGTGTCTTAGCCTACTTCGTTGTAACAGTCGGAGATCTGACCAGGGACCCGACCTTGAGTGTTTGAATAGACTGGACTTCTTTCGTTTTGTTTTGCAGAGTCTACGCTCCGAAAACCACGTGCCGACAATTAACTGTCAACACACCGATAAGTCATTCTGT